ATTTTGTTTCTGTGTTTTCTAAGGGACAATTAGAAAGTCCTAAGGGCAGCATTCAGTGTGCTTCTATTTCTTGTGGTTTGTCTATTTACTTATTTTCACTGTCTAGTGCACACTATCTAAGTTTCTATTTTCTAAAAGAGATTGTAAAATCTTCTATAGATCAATGGGTGGCAAAAGAAAGAGGAAAACATGATCTAATTTTACATGAAGACTGTATGATAAATGGAAGTTCAGCAAGTTTGAATTCATCTTGATATATGAATAAAAGCATGGATGGAAGTGTGACAAACCTGGTTTCATTTAATAATTCCAAGATTGATATCCATAGAAAATGCTTTTAGAAACACTATTGAATTTATTACCTAACCTATTTATGAAGTAAATCCTGGAAATGGAACAGAAAGCATGGAAAATACTAAATATTTAGGATTCTTGCAAAACAACAAAGATGGTAAATGTGAAGCAGATTATATTGGTCTCATGGATAAACATTGTGACTATTGTAAAGTTTTTCTTTTTGCTTCTGAAACACAATCACAATGTTGTCATGGCGGACGTGTGTTTATAGAAAAACAAATTGAATTCCCTGAAATGATTCATAAATTATTAGACAAAACAGTCCAACGAGGAAAATATAAAGAATTAATTCGAAATTATAATAGTGCTTTGGCATTTGCATCTATGGAGGCAAATATTGATGAATGATTGGCAATGGACCATATTATTTCAAAATTCATGACAAGTATACCATTCAATTGGCAGTTTTCATCCTATGCAAGGTCATGATGCAAGATATTCTCAGCTTTATATTTTAGACACACTATTATAATTTCGAATGAATTCTTTAAAATTTCCTTGTTGGAATAAATATTTGTCCTTAATTATAATTTTTTAGTTATTAGAGAAACCAATATCATGTTTATTGGTGATCATTTTTTGTATGAATATAACATAGCAAAAGAAAATTAAAATTAAAATAATCAATCTCATCTTTTGTAATAGTACGTTTAATGTATTTTAGAACAATAGAAAAAATTAATATTTAAATAATATTTCAAGTTCAATGTAAGTACATGAACATATAACAATTACTAATTTAATTTTAAAAAATTAGTACAACTTGATGTTATAAAAATAAAAAGGTGTAAAAACTTTATCTTCAAAGAAATTTGTAAGTGAATATTCTACATACACTTCTATTCTCTAAAAATGTTTGTGAGCATATACTAACTTTTTAGTCTCCTAACATACTATTTTAAAAAAGTAAAATATAAAAAAATATTATATTTATAATAACATATAGTTGTGTAAATCAAAGATGTAATCATTTTAATAATATAGCTTATCAAGTAATATTTAAAATATAATAAAATATATTTATATATCTCATTTCAGCCTAGTGGCTAATTATTCTCCCTATAATATATTATTAAAAAGTAAAGAAACAATAAATTAAATATGTAAAACAAAGTTACTCATAAAATGCATAGCTTAATTTTAAAAATGACTAAGTTAAATTTTATTCTATAATGGAAGTATAAAAATGTACACTAAAAATTAGTTTTAATTATACTTAATCCATAGTATAGTTTTGTTGAAAGAGATAGTGTGACATATATCAAATCCAAAATTTTATTAATCATTGTAGCTTTTTTGTTCGTACCCTTATATTTTTATTAATTATTATTACAAAATTAGTCATCTTATATATGGGAGATGGATGTACACTTAATGTTCATATAATTTATATTGTATTTCTATCAAATTGTTTTTATTATTGAGAATGAAACATTAAAAAATATTTAATGTAATTTAATAATCATATCTAGCAAACATATTATCAATAGGACTATAAAATGCTATTAATTTTGTTAGTAATATAGAAAACAACACTATAATTAATTTTAAAAAATGAGACAATATACCCATAATAGCATCAACAACATATATAAATATCAAAATCAGTAAAAATTATCAAATGCAAATTGTAATTGTTAACACTTTTTAAGTTTTTTCATTTGTCAATGCATGGAATATAAAAATGAAATATAGAAATAAGCCCAAAAACTCTAGTTTATATACAAAAGCAAATAGTCCGGATTGAAAGGTTATCAAAATCTCATTACGTAATATTAGTATATAGCATCATTTGGACTTTACACATCTAAATTGGAGAAATCATTATATGAAAAATAATAAAGTATTCTATTGAACGTTAAAGGTAACAATTTAAATATTTGTTGCCTTAACCTTTAAAATTTCCTGGAACTTGGGGTTTACCAAAATGGAGAAGTGGAGGGCTTTGGCGGTGGAGGCGGCGCTGTCCAGGGCGCATTCCTGGATTCTCTTCGCGGCCGTGCTCTTGATCGCCTCCTCTGCCCTCAGCATCCAATTCCGCCGCCTCGACTCCTCGCGGTGGAGCATCCAGCGGCTGGAGGAGGATTTTGTGGCCGGCCTCTCCAACGATTCCATCAGCGGCTTCCTCCTGGAGCTCACGCGGGAGCCCCATGTCGCCGGGACGCCCCAGAATTTCCACACCGCGAGGTTTGTTTACGAGAGTTTCCAGGCGGCAGGGATTCAAACGCACTACGCGGATTTCGAGGTGCTACTCTCGTATCCACTCCAGCGATCGCTGTCGCTGCTCCTCCCGAACGGGTCGACGCTATCGCTGGGCCTGAAAGAGGAGGCCGTGGAGGGCGATCCTAGCACGAGCAATCCAGACGTGATTCCAACGTTTTTCCCCTATGTTCCATCTGGGACAGTGTGTGGAGAGGCCGTCTATGCAAACTATGGCCGTGCGCAGGACTTCGAAACTCTCAGGCAACGAGGGGTGGATGTCCGTGGTGCGGTGGTCCTTGCGAGGATTGGAAAGATCTTTCGAGGGGATATCGTCGCCAATGCGGCAGCAGCAGGGGCAGCGGCTGCGCTGGTGTTCTCGGATCCTTTCGACTACGCAAAGAATGGAACCGAGGGGTTTTATCCATCTTCGCAGTGGTTGCCACCCAGTGGTGTTCAGCGAGGATCGGTGCTTCTAACCTCCGGGGATATTCTTACTCCTGGATGGCCGAGCACTCCGAATGCCGAGAGGGTGGACTTGTCCGAGACGAAGCTTCCAAAAATTCTAGCACTGCCGATCTCCGCACAGGATGCTTTGCCAATTCTTGCGGCTTTGGGTGGAGAAGTTGCTCCAGCGGACTGGCAAGGTGGTTTGCGGCTGCCAGAGTATCGGCTTGGTCGGGGTCCGGCAAAACTCAACTTCAGCTATGAAGTAGGCTGTTAAAGTAAAAAGAAAGAGCGCAAACAAGCAAGCCGAGGTGTGTGCAGGGAAATCTCACAGTGACGGCGATTAGAAATGTGATCGGGATGATCAAAGGCTCCGAAGAACCAGACAGGTTTACTCAGCTTGGAACGTTCTTTTTGACATTGCTTGTGTGGAGCTTTTACCAGGTACCTACTGGTTGGAAACCATCGAGATGCATGGACGTTTGGAGGAGCAGATCCGAGTAGTGGGACTGCTTGCCTACTTGAGGTAACTTTGACGTTCTTCTACTTTAATTCACTTTACGCTCTGGACATTCTTAGATTGCACGAGGGTTTGGAAAGTTTCTCAAGCAAGGTTGGCAGCCGAAACGAACACTCGTGTTTTGTAGCTGGGACGCGGAAGAATACGGCTTGGTTCGTAACTTGTTCGCCCTTGATCTTCTTGTGCTGAAAGTGGCCTCTTGGTTGACAGATCGGATCAACGGAGTGGGTTGAGCAGAATCTGGACATGCTCACTGCTAGAGCAATCGCTTACATCAATGTAGATAGATCCGTGGGTGGTCCAAACTTTGATGGTTGTGGAACACCTCAGCTCGATAATCTACTCATGCAAGTCACTAAGAAGGTCTGGCCGACAAATCGATGCTAATTTTTACTTTTCTCGTGTTTTCCTCAGGTTAAAGATCCCAATTCAGTGTTCAAGAGCGTGTATGATTCGTGGTGTGCTTTGAACAGAAATGCTACACCTGTGGTAAGCATAGCAAATGTTTTGTAAGCGATGCAAATGCTTTTCCATGTCTGAACAGATTGGCAGGCTTGGAGGCAGTAGGTCTGATTTTTCCTCTTTCCTTCACCGTGCCGGTATTCCTTCTTACGACTTGAGATATCAGACAAGTAAGGTGTGCAATTCGTAAATTATTTTGGCTTAGGTTGTTTGCAGGTTTTCCTGTGTATCACTCGTTATACGATGATTACAATTGGATGAAAGGTTTTGGCGATCCTCTGTTTCAGCGTCACGTTGCAAGTAAGTCCGTTCCTTATCTCTCGAGAGTGACCACATATAGTGTAATTCTGGCAGTGTCTGCGATATGGGGACTGCTTTCAATACATTTTATAAATGACGATATTATTCCATTTGACTACAGTTCTTACGCAAGTGTGTTGGAGGTACGCAGTCGAGCTATTATTCGAGCTATTATTCGAAGAGAAGTTAAGCCTATGCAGTTCTAGGCCGATGTAAGGACCTTGAAAGGCCTCCTGCCAGAAGATATCGACGTTACACCATTACTCCGGGCGATTTCTGAGCTGCAGTCAGCTGCTAGGCAAATCAATGCGGAAGCCAGTGTAAGGAACAGGCTTTAAGAATCCGGGTGATGCTATGACCAGCGTTTTTGCCAGGTGCTTGCAACAAGCACGAGCACAAGCACACAGTCGTCTCTAAAGCGCAGATCCTTAAACGACCGGCTTATGCTAGCTGAGCGCTCATTCTTAGACCCAATGGGATTGGCACAGGATCCTTCTAGTAAGCACTTGGTAAGCCCTTGCAAGATCAAGCTTTGAACCGTTTAGTGATTCGGCTGGCTGGAACAGATTTATGGACAAACAACAAGTGACCTCTACGGCTCGCAGTCTTTTCCAGGTATCAGCCTGGCACTGGCAAATGCATTGGCCAAGATGGACAAGAGCACCTCCAGTGTGCTGCAACACGAGATCTGGAAAGTAGCGAGAGCCATCACAAATGCAGCTCGAGTGTTGTCCGACAATTTCCATTGATCTTGGAAGTACATGTGAGCTTACATTTTATAAAGTATATGTCTACCATTTTCTTTTTCTCTCTGTGTCACCACCAGAGAAGAGAGCTTTCAATGGAAGAGCTGTGCATTAGCTTGATCCAGCGCAACCTTTGCAAGGATTTTGTTCATGGCATCACTTGGATGGAAGCTGTCCCAGAAAACATACTTGGAAGCATCACGACAGGTACCAGGAGTGAGCTTGTTACAGAGAAGAGACACCGCAAGCCGTCCAACTCCACAGCAAGACGTTAAAGTGTGCTCAAAACCTGCTTAGCAACACAAGTAGTCTCCATTAGAAGCTATTCCAATGCTGCTCTCACTCACCATAACTTTCAGGCTGCTGGATCACTTTGGAGAAGATCGTGTAGACGTCAATGTAAGCAACTCTCAAGTCAGTCATACTTCCTCGTAGACGTTGTACGGATGATTCTAACGCTTGGTTGTGAAGACGAGCGTCCTGGTTCTCAAACTCGGAACACTTGAGTTGGCCCTTCCCGTAGAGCGTGACTTGTGACGGGATGCATCCCAGTGGTATAAGGCCTGCAATCGATATTCTTCGAGCGCCCAGTTGGTACATTTCCTGGAAAGTAGCATGGGGCTCATACACGAGAAGAAAGAGGTTTCAGGGTCATACCTTGACAAAGTTCTCGACAGAAAATATGAGAACTTGACGAAATGCATCCTTGGTATACTTTACCCGCAGTGCTGGATCGAAGTAATAGTTGTTGATGTAGTCATTGCTTCCGGAACTAAGAACAATAAACGCCTTGGAAAGGATGGACGCTGTTCTATTTTGGCCAGCAAGTTGTACGAGCTTCTGCTTGTAGTTCCGGAACCACGAAATTTGCCTAGGCAGGTTTGGTACGTTCTATCACAACAAAGTGAAAAAAATGAGCATGATTGCCAACTCAAGTTCTCAAGTTGACTTACGAGCAGTGCCGCCGTCTTCTCGTACAGACCAGAACCAGCTGTTGCAAAGTTAACACCTTGGATGATTTTGCTTCCCTTGGCCGAGGGATCCAAGTACGGCGGAGGAAGTGGCAAACCAAGCAGGCTAGCTGCACCAAGGGAAAAATCTCAAAAGTTAGTGGCTGGGAGCGACAACAATCAAAATTTCTTTTCATACCCAGGTAGTCACTCGAAACGCGACCATTGGAAAATCGTCCGGTCGCCTTGTGGGAGTCGAAGTCTCTCCCATAAGGAGGGAAGTCGGCCCTCACAACCGTTCCAATGTAGTCATTGTTACCAGCATCCACCGACGAGTCTCCGAATACGTAAAGGGCGGGAACGAGCTGAGAAGCTCTTGACCGCGAGGAGAGAAGGCTGGCGATAAGTGACAGTGTTGCGAAGAAGCTTGCGGCAGACATGTCTTCCGAGACCAAGTCTCTGGCCACACAAGGAAGCTCATCATGTTCGTCCTTATAACTGCGTCCTTTTACTTTGCTTTCTGTTTTCTTTCTCGCAGTAGATCGATCGAGCAGTAAAACGTTGCTTTCCCTGTACCGTCTGGTGGTGGCACACGGGTGGACGTATCAAAAACGGTGTTGGTTGAGTGAATGGTTTCCCCTGCATGTGAATAGACAAAGACGGTACTTACTTTAAAAGCCGGCCTTCCTTATTCGAAAACAAAGCTTCACATTTCCTGTGCCCCTAATGAGTGGGACAGGGAATTCTTTCTTATCCTCTCCTCCTGACCACAACAGACCAGATGATGAGCTCACATTGTGTAATCAAGTGCTCCGGCAGAAAGAAAAACAAACAAACCTTTGCAAACCTCGGGCATGTTCTTCAATCAATGTAGTCCATGTTGGAGTACGGCGAGAGAAGTTCTTGCAGCCAGTTCTTCTTTCTTCTCGGATTCCAGCCAATGTCCCTGCACAGCTCGTCGCTGTGCCACGTCCTGGCCAACGCTACGCATGCCCTGTCGAAGTACGGGGTCGACCACTTCATGTAGCGCACCCACTCGTTGGCACTCTTGCTCATTGTTTGAGAGTCGGGAAGTTTCACCTTTCCAGTTAGATAGTACGACAGCCAGCGAGCTCCCATCTCTGAAGCTCTCACATTTGAGACATCCTCCTGGTAACCCAGTATTGCCATCCCAGGAATTCGTGGGTGTATCATCCCTCTGCAAATAAAAAACTATTAGAAACTGGAGCCGGGGAAACAAGAACGAACCTGTACAATGGAACTACACCGTCCGGTCCTTGCAAAACCTCTGCATATCTTTCGGGAAGAATAGCCTTGAGCTTGACTTCGCCCTCAAAGCCTGTGCAAAGCAGAACAACATCTGCTTTCAACTCGCGCTTGTTATCGAGCATGACTCCAGTCGCTGTAAAGTGCCACTTTGGCGACTTGCAAAGCTTGAGACGACCCTCTTTCACGTAGTCCATGAAGTTGTCAGGTATTACCGATATCTTGCACGAAGAAAGTTGTTTATAAAATGGTATGCTGGGCAGTATCCCATACTTTGATAGCGAAAGCGTCCACCGGAGATAAACTTCCACCACTTTAGATGTAGCCCACTTCTGCTCAATTATTAGACATCGTAAGAGAACTAAAATGGTTTCTAGAAGCACAAATCTTACCAATGGCCAGAGGAGCGAGGTTAACAGGCTGGAAAAGAAACCTTGGCCTGGCTTGTGGTAGTACATCTCAGATAGCCTTGTTCCGAACAAATAGGCAATGTTCACTCCAAAAACGTCCCAATGCTGGACAATCCAATGCGCTCTGCGAAACAAGAGCGTGCACGGTTTCCCTGCATGGCCGATCACAATTCGAAAAGGCAAGGAAAGAAACAAATCGAGACGTACCTTGATTCGCTTCAACCGCTTCTGCGGCAACGTCCAAAGCGGACTTTGAGAAGCCGACGACGACGACACTATTTCCGCGGAGAAGTTTCGAGGCATTCTCAGAGTCGAGGGCCGAGAATTCAGTCGAATGCAGCACTCTTCCCTTGAAGACGTCGGCACCTTGGCCAGGCGAGAAAGATGGGAGCCTTGGAACATCTCCAAAACGACCAACGCACAATATCACGAAATCAAATTCCAGCGTCTGCGAACGAAGAGAAAATGCGATCAAAACTTTGGCCTCGCACACCAGAACAAAGTATCTGATCCAAGCAATAAATCTTTCGAGCAGCAAAATCAAGCACGAGATAGCGCTAGCAAAGAGCAAAACCTCCATCCAAGCTCACACGGGCAATTGGAAAATCTCACAAAATGCAGCAGAGATTTAGCTCCCTTACCTCGCGCGCCGCGCCGTCGCCATCGCCGCGCTCCACAAGAAGCTGCCATGGCCCGCGATCGCCATCGCGCCGGATACCCACAACCCTAGAATCGAACCGGACACACTCCAAAACCCCAAATTTGGCGGCATAGCCGTGGAGGTAGTCGAGCACCTGGCCCCCTGTCGCGAACGCGGGCGTGCCCGGCGGCCACGGGAAATCCGAGAACTGGTACGCGACGCTGGGCGTCTGGAGCCGCGTGATGGCGACGCTGTTGCTCCGCCACACCCCGCCAATGTGGGACGAGCCCTCCAGCACAGTGGGCCGAATTCCTCGCTTGAGCAAATGCCGGCAAGCGCACAGCCCCGACACCCCGGCCCCGACGACGCACACCCTCGCCGCCGCTGGCGAGAACTCCAGATCGAAGCCCAGATCGTCCCCCATCGCTGGACCGATCGACCGTTCCACCAGTGAAAATAATTGGCGCTAAAGGTCAACACTAACCAAGAACCCTAATTTCTCCCCCTATGCTCTATCCATGTACGAGGCATGGAGAGCGTGTAACCCAATGTCGCGATCGAAATTTATTTGATCTTCACCATTGTATATTACAAGGTTATAGTTCTAGTCTGTCGCTGCGCTGTATGAATCGTACCATAGACACCAGGGGGGTGTAAATGATCCGCTCGCCACCATTGACATTCATGGCCACACAAAGAATATTCCTTACGTATATTTTGACCTAATGTTTCTAACTGTTTGGTTTGGACAAATCATGTCCCAACAGAGGAACATCCGGCGGAATCTTGGCACACGCGCAATGTAAAAATTCCACCACTGTTTCTTTCATTCGTTTGCGCGGAATCTTGGTTGGATGAGCCAAAGCCAAGTGTGTGCGCGAGATTTTCTTGCGCCAAAACCCCACCCCCCAAAATCTCGGCCTTTTTTCCTTACCTTTAATTTTTCGTCTTTCTTTTGTGCAAGAGAGTAGCGGCGGCCATGATTCCAATCCCGCCCTCGAGTAGTAGTGTGCGACAACAAGCAGCCACCAGCAAGGGCAGGCTTCCACAGGCTTTTGCTTTTCTCCCCTCTTCTTGCTGCTTTACTGCCCCTTTCCTCGCTCTTTGATCCTCTCCCTCCTTTCGCCCTCTTTCATCTCTGGCGCCGCGCGTCCCTTTGATCCGGGCCTGGCTGATGGATCCCGCCCAGCCGCTCCTGGATCCTGCGGCGGCACCGATCTGGATCGCGGAATTCGCGATCACGAGCGCGCGCCGTGCGCATTCCCTGGTGGATCGATCGCCTTGTAGCTCGTAGCGAGCAGGGCAGATCCGTGAGTCCTCGGCATTGGGTCGCCGAATTGCCGCGCAAGGCAGGACTTTGGCGCATGGATCCGGAGAATTTGGAGCGCCCCAATCGGTCGTAAGCAGGGGGGTGACATAGGCGAAGCTAAGCTATGGAAGGAACGCTAAGCAGCGAGCTCTCGCGAGGGACATTTGTATTCGGCCTCCACCTCTGGGTTCTCATCTGCATTGGCGTGGGCGCCATCATCCTCCTCATCCTCCTCGCGCTCATCATCTGGCTCACCTCTCGATCCTCGTCCGGCAGCCACAACTCCTACGAGAAATTCAGCTGCTGCTCCTCGTCGCAATCGCTGCCCACCACGATCCAGCAGCAGCGGAAATCGTCGGGCATCCCCATCGTCACGAAAGAGATCCAGGAAGTGGTGATCGTCCCACCCTACGCGCTCCACCATAGCCCGTATCACAAAGGAGCCCCGCTGGACAAGGTCGCGAGGTCGATTCCCGGGGACGACGCCCCCCCAAAGAGCACCCCTACGCGCAGCTCTAGCGGGAGTAGTAGCAATAGGAGCGCCTTCTATGGCGAGCAGCCGCCGCCCCAGCCCCAGCCCCAGCCCAAGGAGATGGTCCAGCTGGGATGGGGGCGATGGTACAGCCTCAAGGAGCTCGATCTGGCCACCAATGGCTTCTGCGAGGACTCCAAGATCGGCGAGGGCGGCTATGGCGTCGTGTTTAAGGGATTTCTCCCCGATGGCAGCGTCGTCGCGGTCAAGAATCTACTCAACAACACGTAAGTCTCTCTCTCTTTCTCTCTCGCTCGGATTGGATTTGCTTGCGCTCTGGCATTCTTGCGATCTATGGCGTTCTTGTGATCCATGGCATTCCTGTGATCCATGGCATTCTTGCGATCTATGCCAAGTCCTTGATCTTTTGTAAAACGATCTTTCCATCTTTTTTGCTCGCAGCGGCCAGGCCGAGAAAGAGTTTAGGGTGGAAGTGGAAGCGATTGGAAAGGTGCGTCACAAGAATCTGGTCAGGTTGCTTGGCTACTGCGCCGAGAGCTGCTATAGGTGAGGATCTCTAAAGTTCCAGCCCGATTTTAATCTTGTTCTTCGCGATTGTACCAGGATGCTCGTCTACGAATACGTGGACAATGGAAACCTAGAGGACTGGCTCCATGGCTTTTCATCACAGACTCAAGCTTTCCCGTGGGAGGCACGAATGAAGATTGCTCTTGGCACTGCAAAAGCGTAAGTTTCCTTGGTGTGGACGAAAGAAACCATCAAATTCTTTTGTTTTCTTTTTACCTTGCGTCTTCTTTACAGGCTGACATACTTGCATGAAGCTTTGGAGCCCAAGGTGGTTCATCGGGATATCAAAGCAAGCAACATTCTTGTGGAGGGGGACTGGAACGCGAAGATATCTGACTTTGGCCTCGCAAAGCTTCTGGGATCGGAGAAAAGTCATGTCACAACCCGAGTGATGGGAACGTTTGGGTAAGCAAGCAAATCGAAACTCCAGATGCTTACATTCTTTTTGTTTTTCCCTTTTTTCTCGTCACAGATACGTTGCTCCCGAGTACGCAAGCACGGGCTTGCTCAACGAGAGGAGCGACGTCTATAGTTTTGGAGTCCTGCTCATGGAACTCATAACCGGAAGGGACCCTGTCGATTACAGCAGGCCACCCGGAGAGGTACGTGTCGCTCGGCTTGGCATTTGTATTCACTGTGGAAACTTTGATCTTATCATTCAGGTGAATTTGGTGGACTGGCTCAAAGTCATGGTGGCAAACAGGCACTCGGAAGATGTTGCCGATCCGAGGTTGCAAGTAAAGCCCACTCCACGGATTTTAAAAAAGGCGTTGCTGGTCGCAATCCGCTGCGTGGATCCTGACTCGCTGAGGAGGCCCAAGATGGGACACGTCGTTCACATGCTCGAGGCAGACGAGCTTCCATACCGCCAAGTAAGTTCGCTCACAGTTCTCACAACTTACCCGATCATGTTTTACTTTTTCTCCTTTTGTTCCAGGAGAAAGCCCAAAGCGAGAAGCGATCGACGTTTGGAAATTCTCCCCACCATCACCAGGCACCCACAAAACCAGCGCCACTCTCCAGAAGGGCCGATGGCAAGGAGAACGAAGTGAATGGCGGTGACAAGCACGCCATCTACAAGCAAAACTGGAAGAAGTACGAGGTGTAGAGGAGGATCCGGGAGAAATAAGCGTGGAAGTGAAGTAAAAGCTGGAGAAGGAAGAGTTTCTTTTTTTTTTTGGTGCTGGTGTTTTCATTTTGTTAGAGCTCTTGCAGCTTACAGCGCAAGTCAAGCAACTCCGTGGCAATGTGGATTTATGTGGATTTGGTGGGGCTGCCAGTGCGAAGAAGAAGAGCAAAAGAGAGAAACACATGGTGTCACAGATGAGGACGAGCGGAGGTCCCTGTCCTTGACTGGAAAGCTTTCTCTTGGAGGCGAGAGATCAGCAGTGTTGACAGTTGGGATTTCAGTCAATGCTCCATCCAAATAGCTGTTCTACCGAATGCATATCTGTACTAGAAAATCAAGGGGAAATTTCTCTTTTCCTGATCTTTTGTTTTGTGTAGATGTTGATCCCCTTATCGATGCGTTCCGTGCTAGACGAAGGCGATCGGAGAAATAGAGAGGGCACGTCTCCGACCAAACAAAAGTAAATTTCAAATCATGAGTCTAGCAAAAGCTGAGATGTTCTTCCTGCTTGTTAGCGAGTCCAAAGTCTCAACGCCATCCACAATGAACGTGAAGTCCTCCCCCAAGGACTTCCGCATCTCCAGAAAAGCCTTGAGCGAAGGGAGATCCCTGACATTGTCGTCGATCTCAGCTGTGACGTTGGGCTTCTCCGCAAACGAAAACTTGAGCGCATCAACAGACCACGTAAAGAGGCAAGTTCTAGCTCGTTTCATGTTCCATATGCATACCACTGTGGTCTCCACCGGAGCCACGGTGCAGAGTAGAGAGGCGAATGCCCTCAGCCTGCAAGACTTGCCATCGCCCTTGGGACCGACTACCTGTCTGGGGGAATCCACATTTGGGCAAGAAGCTTCAAGTCGGGCATGCCCGCGGTTCCAAAGTGCCTATGCCAAATCCCGCTGCTCCGTCACAATTTGAGCTCTAATTTTGAACCCTAAACTAGTCAATGGTCAGTCTTTAAAGACCTTTTTTGACCTCTTTTGACTAACAGGGAGTCGTTGATGGATGTTATTAGCGGCTACAAGGTTGTTTTTGGAGTCTCACCTAAGGCTATGCACTAGAGGGAAGAATACGCATTTTTTTGAGTTAAAATCCAACTGTCAACACTACTAGGAAGAACAAGGACCTCAGCTTGTCCTCTTTTGTGTAGCACCATACGTTCCTTGCAACCCCAAACATAAAAGACCAACACAAAAAATAGGTTAATTTATGAGCATATGCTCAATTGATGATATGGCAAGGCTCTTAAACTATACGGGTTATCAGCAACAACAGCACCTAGAACTGAGGCATGGTGCATAAAAGTCCGCAATTGTTCCTGCAAGACAATTCACGCAATAGCTGTTCTAATTACAGTTTTTTATTAAGGCAAAGATTAAATACCTTTAATCATGTGTTATTAAACTATTTTAATTTAGATCAAAATCAAACTAAGCCATATTTCCTTTTTTAGGTACAGAAACTTTAATTAAATATAAATTATTTTAATTCTTAACATAAACCTTTAGTATATAATTTCCAAAGATCCAAATACTTTACCATTTGGAGAAATTAAGAAATCTCCTATTAAAATTGTTGATGGACTTATTAATGTACTAGACTTAAGATAGCATAAAAAGAAACAAAAGAATCTCAAAGATGAATATAGAGAGCATTAATATATGGAGTTAAAAGCCTATCAAACCCCATAATTAAATTTGAACCTGATGATGTTGTTGGTGTTTTAGATGTAGAGCATTGAGGTTTAGCTTCCATAAATATTTTAACAATACCACAAGAAACACTAACTGAATCTCCATCTGAATAAGTATAAGAATAATCCTTTTCTTTATAATTAATTTTATCAATTAGTTCCTTGATTGCACCAACCACTCTTGCCATTTCATGTGAATTTAGCACTTTAAAATTACCAAATTTTGGTTCATATTTACTAAGTGATGGTGGTGAATTTGGTGATGCACTAGAAATTTAAGTTAGTATTAATATTATAGATAAAAGAAACAATATATAAAATTTTACTTGTTCCATGTTCAAATTATCAAATAGCTGAAAAACTAATGGGAATAAGGAGCAATAGAAGATTCTAAATTGCATTACCAGTAATTTTTTTTTATTATATAATTAGAGAACCCTCTTATATTGTAGTATGAGTAGTATAAAGTGAAAATGATTTATATATTTTTAATATAAGTATTTTTATATACTCAACTATTGCTATTAGTAGAATGAATACACTGACACTAGATTACAGTTAATCAGACACTATGATTTTAAGCTACTAATAAATAAGTTATATATTCATCTTCTAGCTAAAGCGAAACTAATGAATATTTCCTTTGTGTTTACCACACTAATTTAGTATAATAATCGAGAAGAGTGGATGCTGCTGTAATTTCTTATTTTTGTCAAATTTGTAAGTTTTGTGATGGACAAAGAGAATCAAGGATTGCTGCAACGCACTGAACTATAACGAAAGCTGCATACTTGTTGTCACTAAAATCCAGCTCCCACAGTTACTATCAAAACATTATTCAAACTCCTAAACTGTTATCTGAGCGTGTGCTGCTTCAAGTAGTCTTGTTTGTACTCCTCAAGCACAGCATCTGTAGTACTGAGAGGAAACCAGTTACTCTATAAGCCCAAGATTTTAAAGAGAGAAAGAGAAGCACAACACTTACTAGAGGTGAAGGCACTCGTTCATCTCCTTGGCCTGTGCTCGGCAAGCCCAGGCCATGGAAAACGTCCTCCCTTTGGCACACTCGGCGTACTTGGCCACAACAGGGTCGCATTTCCGGAACGCTTGGGCCTTCATTTTGCTGCGAAGTTCTACACCAGCAAAAAGAATAGCAAACTTAACGAAAGAAAAAACGAAAAGAGCAAGAGGAAGAAACACCAAAATGCAAAAGAAAAGGGCCAATGCAAGCAAAATCGAAGACTGTCAAAAATACTTGACAGTATTGAGCATTGATCGGATCGCAGGAGGCAAAGGAATGCGGACTCACCTTCTTCAACCTTCTTCTGGACGCGCTCCCGCCTCTTCATCACCAGCGCCTCTACAGCCTCTTGCTCCACCATTTCCTTCCAACAAGCAGAGCTAAAACCCTAGCTGGACAAAAGAGATCGCGGTCTCGAATCCCGCGAGCCCCCGGATTCAGCTGAAAAGCAACCGACTTTTGAATTTGTTCAAAATTTCTCACACTCAGGTGATTGGCATATCTTTCTCCAGAGAAGCTTATAGCGGGGGTGGTAATATACATTGTTTGATTCTTCCTGCTCAAGAATTTACCTCGTGCTCGCCATCAAGATGTTGCTTTTGTTGCTGCATTTCTAGCTCGGAAGTTTTCTGGGGCGCGTGATCTTCTGGATCTTGAGAAGATTTCTTCGCAGCAGCAGCAGCAGCGGCAGCGGCAGCCATCCGAAGATTGGGCTTGGCCGGAGCTGCTGCTCCTGCTGTTGTGGCCGCTGTCTCACCACCGCCGCCACTTCCGGAGCCACCGTGCACGGACTTCTTCTTGGCTTTGGCATGCAGGCTCGTCAGTACGCTCTGTATATCTTCTCCAAACTTGAAGTGTTTTCCCATCTACAGGAAAGGGATTACTCAGCAAAGGCGATTATCTGTGTAGAGCCTCGATGAAATACCTGTGTCACTAGCGCATACAGTGGTAAAGTGCTGTAACTGCACAGGACTTGCACGATGACTCTACAGAACAAGTGCTGCGGTTAAAAAGGCCAAAAGAGCGCGATGAAACAGATAAAAAAAAAACAGGCTTTTGGGAGTGTCTTACCCAATGACAAGACGCGTGATGACAAAACCAAGATTTTCCATGAAGCAAGAATCGAAACCAAACGCTGCCTGCAAGGCAAGCAAAGCAAACATGCATTTGCTAGTCAGCAACACTGAATAAGATTAGTTTTACCCATATCCACACGAAGAAGGCGAGCTCGAACGCATTCTGTGAAGCAAAGAAACCATTAGAGCAGTCTGAAAGCTAAGGTAAAAAAGAAGGAAGAAGAAGAAAACCTGGAAGAGGACAAAGTGAATAAGATAGAGGATGAGTTTCGGCCGATTAAACCAGAAGAGCTCGTCTCGAAGATTGACCACCACGGTCGACTGGTTCTTTTGCTCTTCCGCAATCTCGACCGCGAGCGCCATTATGATATTCTGTAGCTTGGCTCCAACAACCAAAAGGATCTGCAAGCCCATGAATCAAAAAATGGAAACAAAGGAGAAAATTACAAACCCCCAGCGGAAGAAAGGCAATCCAGAAATAAGTGTGCCATCCTGCAAGTTTTTCACAAATGCGTTTGAAGAAAATTCGAAAGAAATCCAAGCTATACCGCTGACGTTGAGCAATAGGAAGAGCACCACAAAAAACCAAAGGTAGAAACTGCAATATAAATCATTAGTTGTTCCTTGGAACGAAAACAAGAAGAAGAGGTTACCTGATGCCTACAACCTTCTTAAAGTCATCTTCCAGTACCCGAAGACGTACCTATGGAAGTCAAACGAGGGTTTCAAGTTGTGGTTCTGCAAAGAGATAAAAACACAACACTCAAGCTCTACCGCATGACTCGACGACGACGACGATTGCTTGCTTACTCGAATGAATCCCAGGCGGAGTGTCTGGTACTCGGTATATGTCACGGAACGCCCGAACTGTCGGAAGAAGCAAACCTGGAAAGAAAACATCCTCGTTTTGCTACAGATTTTTGCAAAGCTCGAGTTACTTACGATCCAGCTGAGAAAGTCTGATGATATCCATTTTGGATTGGCATGCTTCTTTAGGAATGTGCTCTGTCTGACAAGCTTGCCGCGCTTCTTTATGCCTAGAAGAAACAAAGAAAACAGAAAGGTGAAACACGTCTTGTCTGGAGGACAGTCCGAAACAAGGAAATTTGACGTACTTGGTGTCTCGGTCTGCGGTTCGGCTTGCGCCCTTCTTTCCCAGGCACTCCATCCGTGTACCTGGATTTATTTTTTCTTTAGTGTTTCTTGTTTTTTTCTTTCTTTGTTTGTTCTGAGAAAAAAAACGTACCTTGTATCTTCCTAATATCAGCGTTAGGCAGCTGTAGACTACGTGAACTACGGCCAGCACGAAGATGAAAATGTGTAGCTTGTGAAGGCCTTCTCTGGAAACAAAAGGGACCTTATTCTGCAAGAAAAACGATACAAAGCTCATGGTTTCTCGAAGTTCTAGGCCGTGAGTGATACGAAAAAGAAGGAAGAGAGGAAGAAAAGAAAAGAGACTAGACTAGACTAGACCTTGGCGAAGCACTTTGACGTCTCCGCGGCCTCTTTTGAGGATTCGGATGAGAGCATGCGCCGATTGAGAGCGAGGAGCCTCCGTGCGTGACCA